GAACCATCGCCGCTTTGCCTTTCAACTTGCTGAAGCCACTTGAGCTCCGAAGTCGTTCAAGCGTGAGCTTGCCAGCATACCTGTGATGCCAAGTGCCTCGACCAGCTTCCCATTGTTTCAAGCGCACTTGCAACTGCTTTACCTGGGCATCCTGGTTGGGCCCAAAGTGGGCCATACACTCCATCAAGACCGAACCGATTACGTGCGCAGTGACCCCTTGGTCTACACAGTGCAGTACATCAATCATGCAATGCTCCATTCTGAATCCAATCGCACATCGAAACAAAGGTGGAACTGGTTTTCCTGCACGCTTCAACTCATCAAGGTAGCTCTCATGAGTTCGCAAGGTTGCCCTCCACCCCGCCTCGTCGGTAGCATCTGTAAACCGAAGCTCTGGGATGGAAATGGAGGCCTTGCACTTCCAACCGCAATTCTCGTTTTCATTATGTTTCGGAAACCCCAGCACTTCGCAGAAGAACGCCCAATCTCCCCTAAGCTGCAAGAGGCTTCCTCCAAACCCTCCTGCGATCTGGCTATTTCCCAGCAACAGCTTGTTCATAGAATCTGACAAGATCTTCCACAATGTATCCCACACCTTATCGTTCAACTCAGTTTTTTCTCAACATGGCGAACACGAATTTCTTTGATCTGGTATCTCCAAGTCCTATCAGGCTGTTCCAAGAAATTACATACACTGAATCTTGGTGTGAGTACTCTCCCCCGTCCCCATGCAGGCCAAGGGGGATTGTCTTTGAAAGTTCATCCAAGGACTTCGCCCTAAGAATCGGGTGTTGGGCTGCGAACACTCGGCCAGACTCAGAATTCCAAAAATCTCGGGCATCGGGCAGACCACATAATATCGACCTCTTGAACTCGACTTGTTTTTCAACATACATCTGCTCAAACATAATATGCGGTAGCAGTACAGCGATCCTCTTCGGACCTGCGGGGCACGGCATTCGCGGGTAAGAAATTGCAGACGACCCCACGGGAGAACCAATCGTTTGCACAAGATCGCGAAAAAACATTGCCAGGTTGATGACCGAATGCGCCCAGCTTAGCATACCGTTCAGCTCCAACTGCACCCTGTGTTGTAGCAGCCATCGCTATCTCCTGGACAGCGGACGAGCTCAGTTCACCTCTCGCCCATTTTTTGAGAAGGGTTCTGTTTAAAGGCAAACTCGAAGACCCCTCGTGGATGGCAGCATGCCTCTTGTCTAACTCATCTCGCTCAGCAGCCGCCAACTTTCTGCGAACGCCTGGAGGTGCGACCGTCGCCTGCGAAGAGCTTGCCCCGTGCGTTTCTGGAGCCCCCCCCCCGCTAATCGGCCTAGCAAGCCTCGCTTCATGCACCAAATTGCTTGGGCCCAATGGGCTGCGGACACGATGGGTGCTACGAGACTCAGACCCTCAAACATAGAATGGACAACCCCGCACCAGCCTTTCACGCAGTCGCAAGGACATAGAAGTGCCAACCGCACGGAATCTGATCAGTGTCTTCCTCCTGCCCCTCCTGCTCCTCCTCCTGCTTCCCCTCCTCCTCCTCCTCCTCCTCCTCCTCTTCCTCCTCCCCCTCCCCCTCCCCTGCTCATCTTCACGCTCGCGCGTGTCCGAGAACATGCAACAGGGTGCGTGCGAGTCGGGAGTCGCTTGCTTCCCCCCAAGACGTCTTGGAGACAAGACGGCCCCCCGAGGCCTCAAGGTAGCCCTAGAGTCGCAGGAGGTGGCGCAAGGGAGGCCTCCAGAAGTCCCCAAGTATGCACGATGGTGATGCTGATGATGACAATGATGATGGTGACGATGACGGTGATGGTGATGATGATGTTGATGATGATGATGTTGATGATGATGATGATGATGTTGATGGTGTTAATGGTGAGGATGGCTGCGATGACGGTGCTAATGGTAATGATGACGATGATGGCGATAACGAGTATGCGTAATCATGAATATACTTACTATCACGATGACGGTGACGGAAGATTTGCTCAGTCAGTTCCTTTTTCGACTACTCTTAGGAGCTCTGAACTCTCTTGCCCGACACCCCAGTCGGCTAAAACTCAAAAGCCCATTCTGCACAAGTACACAATGGCAGGAGGAGCAGGTGGAGGCCGAGTATAGGTAGGGAGTCGAGTTGACTCCTGAGCTAGGCTGCCCTCCTCCTCTTAGGAGGTTTCGAAATTCCGAATTTGACGGCCCAGTCCTGCATGGTCTTGAACTTGGCCATGCTCATCGAGACCTTGCCGTCCAGAGCCTGGATCGAGCCCACATCAAGAACCTCGCTCTTGTTGCACAGCACCAGCTTCTCGACAGCTTTGATGCAGCTGGCCAACTTTGGAAGGAATGAAACCACGTCGTCGTGAAGCTGCTTGGCGTACTCGATGCCACTCGCCGACTCACGCATCACCTTGCACTCGATCTCTATGCTGCGAAGTTTGCTGAGAATGCCCATCGTGTCCTTCATGATGTCGAGCTTGTCGAGCGGGTTGATCTCGACCCCAGGCGCTTCCTCGGGCTTCACGGGGATAGGGTCAGCCGAACCAGCAGAACCCGTCAAGCTCGGCAGCATCGACCCTGCCATGTCGCTCATCTGGTCAGACAAGGCGCCCTCCATATCAGCATCCCCGTTGACGTGCATGCCGATCTCCGTGTGCTCGCCATTCTCCTGGTCCTCGAAGTCGTCCTGGATCTGCCACTCGCACATATCCTCTTCCATGGACCCTGTCACTTTGTCGGGCCGCTGCTTCAAATTGCCGCTGTCGATCCAACGGCGAACTCTTTTTTCACCGTATACACGCTCCATCTGCTCCTTCCCCATCCACTGCTTATGCGCCCCTGCAGTGTTCTTGTGCGTGATCTGCCGGCTACCCTCGCACGTCTTCTGTCCGCCGTCGCGGGCCTTCATCGCAAGGAAATTCAACAAGAATGTTCGGCGACGTCCACCATCGAGTCTCTCACCTTGGGGAAGTTCTCCTGATTGCTTCAAGTAGTACGTCATCGACGACTCCACTCGCTTCTTCTCTCTGGAGTCGTAGTCGAGCTTCTCCAGGGCCTTCGTGGCTGCGGCGAGCTCCTCCTGGGACAGCTCGTCCTTCAGGCTCTCCAGAGGGGTCTTCTTCGCCTTCGATTGTGCTGCCGCGGGCTTGGCCTTGGGCTTGGCCTTGGGGGCCATACGTTGCGATGGAATGGCGAGCAGCTCGGAGTCGCGTGCACTCTGGAACTGCACGACAGATCTCGAGCCAAAATGGCTATGATACAGCGGCGCCCCCATGTGAACGCCAGAGACCTGATCGAAGTCAGAAAAAGTCAGAAAAAGTCAGAAAAAGTCAGAAAAGTCAGAAAAGTCAGAATGTTATAAACTATTGTGCTTTATCAGGTGTAGTTGATGTCTGACTTTTCTGACTTTTTCTGACTTTTTCTGACTTTTTCTGACTTTGTCTGACTGCTTCTGACTTTGCTTGTGATGATGCCTTTACCTTGTCTGACTTCGTTTGTTTTTCGTTTCTCGTTGACGCACCCCGCGGCGCCGAAGCCCTACGACGCCGAGACACAGCGACACTGCGAATGTTCGAGACATCGCCAGACGGCTCAAACATGAAGGAGGAGGCGGAAGAGGTGAAGGTGGAGCCCCAGTGCGACCACGCTTGCGCCCATTGTTCAATGTTGAGTTTTCTGGCGTTTCTGAGTTTTCTGACTTTTCTGGGCTTGTCTGAGTCTTCTGAGTTTTCTGAGTTTTCTGAGTTTCTGATTTTTCTGAGTTTCTGTTTTCTGACATGTCTGACTTTGCATGCGTTGATGATGATGGCGGCGATTGCGATGATGATGAGGAGGAGGAGGAGGAAGAGCAGGAAGAGGAGGAGGAGGAGCAGGAAGAGGAGAAGACGACGATGATTGTCTCCTTCCCTGCGGGCCTGATGACGCCACTTCGAGCGCTGAACGTAGAGTCGTACATGCGCAGCGGCCAGCCTGCCTCGAGTGACTGCCTACGCGTCGCCAACAATGCGAACTACGACGGGCCTAATCTCTGCCCAACCGTCCTTGAGCTCCGTCAGAGTGACTGGGGGCACCTCCTCAGGGCAAGAAGAAGCTTCCATGTAACTGAGCAGGATCGCAGCACGCGTGATCAGGTCCACCATCTTCTGCTTGATCGCTGTCGTGTAGTTGTCCTCGCCGACGCGGACCAGGTACCCGTTGATCACGGTGTTGTAGTTCTTCAATACTGTAATGATGTCATTCTTCTTGTCATTGTCGTCAAGGTCGTCGTCTGATGCGATATCAATCGTTGCCGATCCACTTGCATGCGACACGATCAAGCGCCCCAAAGCCTCCGACAATGAGTCATCGCAATGATCGGCATCATCTGCTTTGTGTGGACCAGCTTCGACCAACGCTGTGGAGCTTCCTGCAGTCGCACCGTCCACGGCTGGGCATTGCGAGTCGTTCCCATCATCTGGGTACTGCGAGTCGTTCCCATCATTTGGGTATTGCGAGTCGTTTCCATCATCATAAGGGTTAGGAGTCATACGTTTTGGCGATGGTCCACCACCGCCCTCTGAAGGCCTCTTGTTGGGGCCCATGTTGGGATATGCTCGGCCACCTGGTGAAGAAAGCTCGAGCCAAGATGGTGACGATGATGATGATGATGACGATGGTGGCGACGATGATGATGATGGCCATGCTGATGATAGTGAATGCGATGGCGATGACGATGCCGACGTCGACGACGACGACGATGCTGATGCTGATTATGATTGTGTATATGACGTTACGGATGATGGCGGTTAAGATGTTGGCGATGACGATGTTGGTGATGATGATGATGGTGATGATGGTGATGATTATGATAATATACACAGGTTCCCAGAAACATCATTCGTATGTGTCGTTCGTTGGTGACGGTGATTCTGCAGACAGGTCGACCGATTGATACAACATGCCATGTCTTTCGAGTGGCGGTCGACTCCCTTCACAAATGATGCACGATGATGTTTTTTTTTTGCAGGGGCATGCTCCTGTTGTTCGTCTACTCTTGGTGAGCCGCGCCTGTGCCGAAGTGGAGAGCCACGGCCTGTCTGCCAGCAAGCCTGGCTTTGACCCTAGCCACAGCTGCGCAATGTGTTTTCTTGGCGATCGTGAGCGCCTTGCAGTAGGCAGAGCTGTACACGCGATTTGTCACACTCGACTTGTATGTATTCTCCACGGTGTCATCGATCTTGTCCGCAGCCGCTGGTTTTTTTCATGTTGGTCGGATCCTCGTGCGACGCTGGCTTCTCGGCGACTCCTGCTGGCCGCCTCATCGCAGCAGCTGGCCGTTTCTTCAATTCCGTTCCATCGCCCCAGCCAAAGTTCTTGTTACCAGTCCGCGGGTCGATACCTGGAATAGTTGCTGTCTGCTTGACCAATGCGTCGACGTCGACACCGTGAGCACCACTTGATGTGGCTGGTGACCTGGTTGCATGGCCAGTTGCACTTTTGAAGAGCTTGAAATCGTACTCGGCGTCGGAGTTGCTGTCCACGTTGACGGTCGGTACCTTCTCCTTCTTAATCGGTGTCACCTCGATGACTTCGTCGCTCACCTCCTGCATGGCGAGCTCTGTGGATGTACGTTTGCCCGTCTTGGGCTCGATCTGAACCTGCATATCATCAATGAGTCCTTGTAGTTTCGCGTAGCGCCGAGGTGCTCGTTTCCCATCTCTTTTGCAGTCCCTGAGGTGTGCAATCATAGCCCTGCTTCTATATGCCATCTTGAGAACAGCATCGCTCGAGATCTGCCCTTTGAAGTGTGCTGTCAACGCTGAGTACCAGGCCGCATGTAGAAGAACCCTGCCGTGAGTCGCAGCAACAATATTTTCCAAAAACGCACGGTGTCGCCAAAGTTGATCAAATTTTGGGCCTTTTTTCCACAATGTTGATTCCGTGCCAGGCATACCGTATTCCCACTGGGAAGAAGGATCGATCAAACATTTCGCTGTGATGTGATCGGACAATATCTTTTGAGCTACATCGGGATCGATATCAACTCCAGTAAGTCGGCCCTGCTTATCTGTCATGTGTGTATGCTGTGGCTGGTGCACATGGTTTGAGCCAAAATGTTTACGGACATGATGACGCACCACACTTGGAAAGCATTCAACACTCCACCATACGGAATCGACGCGGAATTCTGGCCTGTCGAAGCCGAGTCCCAATTACAGGGCAAAGAAGGAGGAGGAGGAGGAGGAGGAGGAGGAGGAGGGGGAAGAGGAGGCGGAGGAGGACGATGAGGAGGATGTTGGCTAAGTGTAGTAGCGTAACGGCCGCCACCCAGGTACATGAGAGGGATGTGGAGGGGGAGGATGAACGTGTCGGGGGAATGGGGATGAGGCGTGCGTAACTCCCACACCCAAATCACGCGTAACGGCCGCGACCCAGCTACAAGAGGTGGAGGAGGAGCAGGCGGAGGAAGAGGAGGCGGAGGAAGAGGAGGAGAAGGAGGAGGAGGAGGAGGAGGAGGACAAGGAGGAGCGGGAGGAGTATGAGGAAGAGGAGCAGGAATAGGAGGAGGAGGAGACGGAGGAGGAGGATGATGACCGCGTAACGGCCGCGACCAAGCAACGATACGATGACGAGGACGAGGACGACGACGACGACGTCGAGGGTGCGCGGGCGGGCGGCGGCGGTTGTAGGAGGGAGGGGGGGCAGGAGGAGAAGGATGAGGAGGAAAAAGAGGAGAAGAAGGAGGAGGAGGAGGAGGACGAGGACGAGGACAAGGACGAGGAGGGAAAGGAGGAGCGAGGAGGAGGAGGAGGCGGAGGAGGATAAGGAAGATGATGAGAAGGAGGAGGAAAGGGATGAGGAGGTGGAGGAGGAGGAGGAGGAGGAGGAGGAGGAGTAGTAGTAGTAGCGGTAGCAGTAGCAGTAGCATCAGTAGTAGTAGTAGTAGTAGTAGCAGTAGTAGTAGTAGTAGTAGTAGTGGTAGTAGTAGTAGTAGTAGTAGTAGTAGTAGTAGTAGTAGTACTAGTACTAGTACTAGTACCAGTAGTAGTAGTATAGTAGTAGTAGTAGTAGTAGTAGTAGTAGGTAGTAGTAGTAGTAGTAGTAGTTACGTAGTACGTACGTAGTAGTAGTAGTAGTAGTAGTAGTAGTAGTTAGTAAATAGTAGTAGTGGTAGTAGTAGAAGTAGTAGTAGTAGTAGTAGTAGTAGTAGTAGTAGTGGTAGTAGTAGTAGTAGTAGTAGTAGTAGTAGTAGTAGTAGTAGTAGTAGTAGTAGTTGTAGTAGTAGTAGTAGTAGTAGTAGTAGTAGTAGTAGTAGTAGTAGTAGTAGTAGTAGTAGTAGTAGTAGTAGTAGTAGTAGTAGTAGTAGTAGTAGTAGTAGTAGTAGTAGTAGTAGTAGTAGTAGTAGTAGTAGTAGTATAGTCGTCGTAGTTGTAGCAGTATAGTCGTAGTAGTAGGAGTAGTAGTAGTAGTAGCTAGTAGTAGCAGTAGTAGTAGTAGTAGTAGTAGTAGTAGACAAGAGTAGTAGTAGTAGTAGCTAGTAGTAGTAGTAATAGTAGTAGCTAGTAGTAGTAGTAGTAGTAGTAGTAGTAGGAGTAGTAGTAGTAGTAGTAGTAGTAGTAGCAGTAGCAGTAGTAGTAGTAGTAGTACGTAGTAGTAGAACACCAACGTATAATAGTCGTAGTGGTAGCATTAGGAGTCGCAGCCGCTGTTGTAGTGGTTGTGCAGAGTATTAAGTAGTACGTAGCATCACTATTCGTATACAGTAGTGCTATAGCTGTATACCGCTATAGTTGTAGTTGTACTAGTAGTCGTCGGTTATTAATAGTCATAGTAGCAGCAGCAGCAGCGGCAACAGCAGTAGTAGTAATGCTAGTTTAAGTAGTAGTGCAGCAGTGGATCTAAAGCCAACCAAATCTCTTATTTCCAAGTTTAGCCCCTGGCCGCTTAAATGAAGTTCCGGATAAGAGACTAAGGCGCGCGTCGTCTATATCCAGGAGATTCGCAGTGATTCTAAGAATCTAAGCTGCGAATTTAGACGATATCGTCTAGATCTGTCTCTTATTCCATGCATCATCTCCTTTTTCTAAGAGAATCTCTTGGCTTTAGGTGACATGGACGCTCGGGGGGGACCCGGAACCCGGGACGAGCGCGGGACCCGGGACCCGGGACCAGCACGAGACTCACGAGACCCGGGACCAGCGCGGGACCCGGGACCAGGACCCAGGAGTGGCGCGGGACCCGGGACCCCAGACCGGCGCGGGACCCGGGACTCGTCGCGGGACCCGGGACTGGCGCGGGACCGGGACGCCAAGACCGGCGCGGAACCCGCCACCCGGCCACCCGGGACCGGCACGGGACCCAGGACCCGGGACACTGGACCCGGGACCCGGGACCGGCGCGAGACCCGGGACCCGCGACCCGGGACCGGCGCGGGACCCAGGACCTGGGACCGGCGCGGGACCCGGGACCCGGGACCCGGGATCGCGGGACCGACCCGGGAGCGGCGCGAGACCCGGGACGCCAGGACCGGCGCGGGACCTGCGACCCGGAACCTGCGCGGGACCCGGGACCTGGGACCGGCGCGGGACCAGGGACCCGGAACGGCGCGAGACCCGGGACCCGGGACGAGCACGGTCGGGACCCGGGACCGGCACGGAAACTTGGGACCATATAGGAACCTGGGACCCAAGACAGCCGCTGGACCTGGAACTCGGGATCCCGGGATGAGCGCGGGACCTGGGATCCCGGACCCGACCCAGGACCCGGGACCGGGACGAGCGCGGGACCCGGGACCCGAGACCCGGGACACCTGCAGGACGGGGCGCGGGACCAGCTACCCGCCGGCGCGGGACCCGGGACCCGGGACCCGGGAGCTTTATTAAGCTAAATGGGGTTCCTCATGCAGCTCTCCTAAGGCTCTCCTGGAGCCCTCCTGGGGCTCCTTCCGCCAGAAGGCTCGCGATGTCATTATCCCGGCAAAGCAACCTAACAGCGATGTGTAGAAGCATATATGGAAACATTCCCCTTAAGATCCAGATGAGAATCCAGTTGTAGAATTCTCCTGTTCTCGCAGTCGCAGTCGCATTCGCGATGACAGTCGCAGTGGCAACGGCAGTCACAGTCACAGCCTCAGCCTCAGCCTGCCTCAGTATCAGCCTGCCTCAGCCTCAGCCTCAGCCTGCCTCAGCCTCAGCCTCACCCTGCTTCAGCCTCAGCCTCAGCCTCAGTCTGCCTTCAGCCTCGGCCTCAGCCTCAGCCTGCCTCAGCCTCAGCCTGCATCAGCCTCAGCCTCAGCCTCAGCCTCAGCCTCAGCCTCCTGCCTCCGCATCAGCCTGCCTCAGCCTCAGCCTCAGCCTGCCTCAGCCTCAGCCTGCATCAGCCTCAGCCTCAGCCTCAGTCAGCATCAGCCTGCCTCAGCCTCAGCCTCAGCCTGCCTCAGCCTCAGCCTCAGCCTGCTTCAGCCTCAGCCTCAGTCTGCCTTCAGCCTCGGCCTCAGCCTCAGCCTCAGCCTCAGCCTGCATCAGCCTCAGCCTCAGCCTCAGCCTCAGCCTCAGCACAGCCTGCCTCAGCCTCCTCAGCCTGCATCAGCCTCAGCCTCAGCCTCAGCCTGCCCAGCAGCCTGCCTCAGCCTCAGCCTCAGCCTGCCTCAGCCTCAGCCTCAGCCTCAGCCTCAGCCTGCCTCAGCCTCAGCCTGCAGCCTCAGCCTCAGCCTGCCTCAGCCTCAGCCTCAGCCACAGCCTGCCTCAGCCTCAGCCTCAGCCTGCCTCAGCGTCTGCCTCAGCCTGCCTCATCCTCAGCCTCAGCCTCAGCCTCAGCCTCAGCCTCAGCCTGCCTCAGCCTGCCTCAGCCTCAGCCTGCCTCAGCCTCAGCCTGCCTCAGCCTCAGTCTGCCTCAGTATCAGCTTGCCTAAGCCTCAGCCTCAGCCTGCCTCAGCCTCAGCCTCAGCCTGCTTCAGCCTCAGCCTCAGTCTGCCCTCAGCCTCAACCTTAGCCTCAGCCTCAGCCTGCCTCAGCATCAGCCTGCCTCAGCGTCTGCCTCAGCCTGCCTCAGCCTCAGCCTCAACCTCAGCCTCAGCCTCAGCCTGCCTCAGCCTCAGCCTGCCTCAGCCTCAGCCTCAGCTTGCCTCAGCAGCAGCCTGCCTCAGCCTCAGTTGGCTCCGGGCATTCAAAATGTGGCCCGGGAATGGAGTTCTGGGAACTCGAAGAGCACGAAGTGGCCTACAGTTGGCTCCGGGCATTCAAACTGTGGCCCGGGAATGAAGTTCTGGGAACTCGAAGAGCACGAAGTGGCCTACAGTTGGCTCCGGGCATTCAAAATGTGGCCCGGGAATGGAGTTCTGGGAACTCGAAGAGCACGAAGTGGCCTACAGTTGGCTCCGGGCATTCAAAATGTGGCCCGGGAACGGTGTTCTGGGAACTCGAAGAGCACGAAGTGGCCTACAGTTGGCTCCGGGCATTCAAAATGTGGCCCGGGAATGGAGTTCTGGGAAGTCGAAGAGCACGAAGTGGCCTACAGCTGGCTCCGGGCATTCAAAATGTGGCCCAGAAATGGAGTTCTGGGAAATCGAAGAGCACGAAGTGGCCTACAGTTGGCTCCGGGCATTCAAAATGCGGCCCAGGAATGGAGTTCTGGGAAGTCGAAGAGCACGAAGTGGCCTACAGTTGGCTCCAGGCATTCAGAATGTGGCCCGGGAATGGAGTTCTGGGAGGTCGAAGAGCACGAAGTGTGTGACTGTTTGCGAAAAGCGCATTCGGACACGAGTTCGGACACAGCTCCCCGGATGCCGCCCCGACCCCCCTGTGGAGTCATCTGCTGCTCTCTTTTGACCCCACTAGAAACCTATCAGCAAAAGCTGTTAGGTAAAAACGTAGGTTTTGACAGCGCGAGCCTCTGCCTTCTCGGGGACCCCCTTGGAGCCCTCTTGGTGCTAGCCTCTGTTTTCTCAGGGCCCTCTTAGGGCCCACTAGTGGCGATCTGACGTCCCCCTTGGCGC